ACCTCAGATGAGATGGATTGATACAATAACTGGGGCAATAAGGGTAGGTGTGTCAGGGTCAGTGTGACTGGCTCATGACAGGGCAGGCTTCAGAGCTGTTACATAAGGTTGCTATATGAGTTTTAGACAACTCTATGGCACGTAACAACAACAACAACAACAACATGTTATTGTGTACCATAGAGTTGGAATCAACCCATAGCTGAACCTATGGTGGGTTTTCAGAGACAGTTTACCACAGGAGAGGAAACTGTCCATCCTTCTCCCACAGAACCAGTGCTTGCTTTGAACTAATTGCCTTTGGGATTGCAGTATACTATGTTGTCACTAGGCCACCAAAGCTCACTCCGTACAAATGTAGTTTTGTAGATGGATCAAATGTTTCCTTCATAATTGTATTTTTAACAATATCTTTTGAAGATAAGCCATATTTAATATTGCCAAATCTAGATATCAAGGTTTTTTCCATGTCTATTATGCCTTAGTTAAAAAAAAATCTTTGCTTATCTAAAGTTGTGGAGATTTTCTGACAGTATTTCAAAATAATAATTATGGTTTTCCATAGAATTAAAAAAGTTCAAATGAAAGAAAGAGAAGGCAAAAGTAGGATATAGAATACCCTTCATTCCAGAATTAAAGCTATAGTTTGACATGTCTATAAATTTAAAGCTATAGTTTGACATGTCTATAAATTTGGACAAGGAATAAGGAAGACCTAATGAATTGATCCAGTAGGTGGGCCTTGGTGATCAACAGTTAGTTGAGCCCTCAGGCTTGTGGCCAACTCATCAATAACCTGTGCTATGCATGTGACACAACCTTGCTTGATGAGCGTGTGAAGAACGTGAAGCACTTACTAAAGAAGACCAAAGAATACAGCCTTCAATATGAAATTAATCTCAATGTCAAGAAAACAAAAAATATTTTCACAGGACCAATAGGCAAGATCATGATAGAGAAAACATTGAAATTGTCAACAACTTCAACTTAATTGGATCCACAGTTAACACCCTTGCTGTCAGATATATGCACCAAAAACCAGAGCCAAAGAAGAAGAAATAGATGATTTCTATCAATTCTTACAGGCAGAGATAGATCGAACATGCAATCAAGATGCATTGATGATAATGGG